CCATGGTTACTCGACTGTTACTGCACCATGCTTGACCCCGAGTGGAACTCTGCAAAGCTCACCACCTCCCCCAGCTTCCCAAGGGAGAAAGACACACGTACCCTCCCCTCTGAGACCTCCAAACCTGTGTGGGTGTCTGTCATAACTACCACCCCTGCCTCGTACCCGTGCACACCCGAGGACTGTGTCAGGAGAGGCGGATGCGTTGATGTCTAAGCGTTCTTGCATCCTTAACTTGGACACCGGAAAGGCATGTTCTTTTCTTTGATCTCTGGATGTTTCATTTTGTTTTTTTGTCATCTCCATCTTTCGATGCCTCATGCAATGAATTGTGTGTGGGAGGAAGGGAGAGGCAAACATGTACAAGGACACAGAGGTATCCTGGGAGAAACTGTGACTCTTACTATAAAATATGAATCTCACTCACTTCTTTAGCACCTTGTACTTTATTTATTTTTATTTATTTATTTTTATTTTATTTTATTTTTTTTGAGGCAGAGTCTCACTCTGTCACCCAGGCTGGAGCGCAGTGGTGCAACCTCAGCTCACTGCGACCTCCACCTCCCGGGTTCAAGCAATTATCCTGCCTCAGCCTCCTGAGCAGCTGGGACTAGAGGTGCTTGCCACCACGCACGGCTATTTTATTTATTTATTTATTTATTTATTTATTTATTTATTTATTTAGTAGAGACAGTGTTTCACCATGGTGGGCCTCAAATTCCTGACCTCAAGTGATCTGCCAGCCTCGGCCTCCCAAAGTGCTGGGATTACAGGCGTGAGCCACCACACCCAGCCAAAACATGGATATCTAATGGGATAATTTCAAGCACTAAAGCAAGCTAATTGGGAGCGTCAATGGCAAGGAGCAGTAGTAATCGTTTATGAAATCATGATGAGGTGCTGGCAGCTGATGCACACTCACAGTCCCACTTAATTCTTCAAGTGAAATTCCCACTTGGGAGGAATTTACTATGAGCCATTTTCCAAATAAGAGATAGAGACGAGACAGTCTCTACCTCTTCTTTGGTGCGAGGAGATTGGTGCAGTCGGTGAATGGCAGAAGTGGATATGCACCCAGATCTGTCTCAAGTCCAGATTCCAACTCATCACTTCCCTAAATGTGGTCTATTCTGCCAGGCTGGATAAGGGAAGTGGTTCTGCTTCCAAACTTAATATGTGACAGATGAGGCAACCTAAACCAAAGTCTTCTTGAGTTTGGCCAAACTATATGCTGCTAAGGCTCAAATCCAAATAACCGTAACAAGCCATCCCAACTATGCTACAACCCACATGACTCAAAGGCAAGGGAATCCCAGGAGACAAGGTACAGGAACAGGCACTCTGGGGAGTCTGCCGCCTCTGATCCTGCTCCCGTGGCACACACAGTGCCCCATCTGCCTCCAGACCTGTGCTGAAGAAATGGGGGGAAGAGGCAGACTTTGTAAATGTAGGTGATCCAATGGTCACTTGAGGCCTCTCAAACAGGGACTCTGTAGAATGATGTTAATGGGCCAGATGGAATGCACATCTGCCCCTAAATGTGTTTCTTTTTTTTTTTTTTTTTGAGACAGTGTCTTGCTCTGTTGCCCAGGCTGGAGTGTAGTGGTGCAATCTTGGCTCACCGTAACCTCCACCTGCTGGGTTCAAGTAATTCTCCTGCCTCAAGCCTCCCAAGTAGCTGGAACCACAGGCATGTGCCACCATGCCTGGTAATTTTTTGTATTTTAGTAGAGACAGGGCTGGTCTCGAACTCCTGGCCTCAAGTGATTCACCCACTTTGGCCTCCCAAAGTGCTGGGATTACAGGCATGAGCCACCGTGCCCACCCTTGTTTCTTTCTAAATGAGACTTCCTTTGTGTCTTTACATTTCCTTCTACAAAAAAACTATGCCATGTGGGCACAGGAGCTTATGCCTATAATCCCAGCACTTGGAAAGCCCAAGGCCAGTGGATCACTTGAACCCAGGAGACCAGCCTGGGTTAACATAGTGAGACCCCAGCTCTATGAAAAATTTAAAAATTAGCCAGCCATGGTGGCACGCACCTGTGGTCCCAGCTATTCAGGCGGCTGAGGTGGAAGGATCTGCTGAGCCCAGGAGTTCCAGGCTGCAGTGAGGTACGATCTGGCCACTGCACTCCAGCCTGGGCAACAGAGAAAAGTGCTGTCTCAGAATAAAATGCTTTTTTTTTTTTTGAGACGGAGTCTCGCTCTGTCACCCAGGCTGGAGTGCAGTGGCCGGATCTCAGCTCACTGCAAGCTCCGCCTCCCGGGTTCACGCCATTCTCCTGCCTCAGCCTCCCGAGTAGCTGGGACTACAGGCGCCTGCCACCTCGTCCGGCTAAGTTTTTGTATTTTCAGTAGAGACGGGGTTTCACTGTGTTAGCCAGGATGAGTCTCGATCTCCTGACCTCGTGATCCGCCCGTCTCAGCCCCCCAAAGTGCTGGGATTACAGGCTTGAGCCACCGCGCCCAGCCAATACTTTTTAAATAAACTAAAAACTCAATGGGCCAAGTGTGGGTGGCTCACATCTGTAATCCCAGCACTTTGGGAGGCCAGGTGAGGCAGAATAGGGAATGAGGGTAAGGTTAACCTTAACCAAGGGTTAAGGCATAAACAAAAGAACAGCAGGTGCAGCCAGTTCTAGGCAGGATTAGGCAGCGTAGAGGCCACGTGCTCATTCCGTCAATCAGACACTGATTCAGTCAGTCAATCAGAGTGGGGTGGGGTGTCAGACTCTGATTGACAGGGGGGGGGACGCGGGGTGTGTGCCACAAGTCTCCACTGCAACCTCTGATTGGTCACAGGCCAATCCTTCAGAGGGTGTAACCAATTGGAGGCCTCTAACGGGCACCTAGGGGCGTTACCTAATTCTTCTAGCTTAATAAAAATCCTAATGAGGGCTATTGAGCCGTTTGCTCTATCTGGCTCCTGCTCTGTAAATTGTACTTTCGCTTTAATAAATCTGTCTCCTCCTTACTCGGGTTTGTTTTTTGCCTTTCGTTGCTTTGTTTTTTTGTTACTTTATTTGTGCATTTCGTTCAATTCTTTGTTCAACACGCCAAGAACCTGGACAATCCATGGTCAAGACCTTCCATCCAGTAACAGAGGCAGGAGGATCCCTTGATGCCAAGAGTTCGAGACCAGCCTGAGCAACAAAGTGAGACCGTCTCTATTTTATTTGTATTTTATATATATATTTTATAACCATCTGGGCATGGTGGTGCATGCCTGTGGTCTCAGCTACTCCTCGGGCTGAGGTGGGAAGATCGCTTGAGCCTAGGAGTTGGAGGCTGCAGTGAGCACTGCATTCCAACCTGGGTGCCAAAGCGAGATCCTGTCTCTAAATTAAATTAAAAACAATATCACCAAAACAACAACAGGTTGGGCGGTGGTGTCTCACACCTGTAATCGGAGGACTTTGGGAGACCGAAGTGGGAGACCATTTGAGGTCATCGAGGGCAGCCTGGGCAACATAGTGAGACTCCACCTCTACAAAAAATAAAACTGGCCTTGGTGGCGCGCGCCTGTAATCCTAGCTACTTGGGAGGCTGAGGCAGGGGGATCGCTTGAGTCCCGTAGGTTGAGGCTGCAGTGAGCTGAGATCGCGCCACTACACTCCAGCCTGTATGACAAACTGAGACCCTATTAGAAAAAAAAAAAGTGCCCCGCTCACTTTTTCCAGAAACGCGCAGCCCTCGCCTGTAGCCAGGAGAGAACGCCGCGAGCCAGCAAAACACATACTCCGCCAGGAAACGGACAAGCCCACCCAGGGATGCCAGAAGAGGACACCGCGCTGCAGGTTCTTCTTCCGGGCTGGCGGCGAGCGCTTCCGGGGCGGCGGCGAGGGAGGCGGAAGTGCGGTGTCCTGGCAGGTGGCTGTTGTCTGTGGGCCGACCGTGGGAGGCTCCCGAGGTGGGGGCCGGGTCGG